ATCAAGCGGGATTCCTGTGTTGTGTACACGCCCGGACGGACGGACGGACGGACGTACGGACGTACGGACGGAAGTGACGTCAGCCAAACCATGAAAAATCAAATCGATGGTTTACCATTTTTTCTTAAGTATGGGGCTCCGCTATAAGCAGAAAAGAGACTGTCCTGTCTGTAACAAGCCTAATCTTAAGTTTATGAGTGATCATTTACGTCAAGTGACATAATCTATATGGGGATGAAAGGAAAAAATGGTTAGGAAGGGCAAGGTTCTCACTACTACAAAACCACATCTCGAGCTTGCTACCGGCACGGCCAGCAAGTAGTTCAAAAGATAACAAGCTCTGTACCCAAATCAACAAAAACTCCAAAAATACGGCTGTCTTTGACTACTACACCCTGTCCAGAATTCAACCTCCGCCATAAATTTTCTCTTTTGGTCGTGGGTCCCACTCAGTGTGGTAAAACCTATTTCGTCCAACAGATTTTAGAAAAGAATCGTATCGTGTATGAAGAGCAGAAAAATATCCGTATTCTTTGGTGCTATAATCAATGGCAAGATCGTTACGATGTCTTGAAAAAATCCCTTGGAAAAAGAATTCAATTTGGAAGAGCATTACCCGATCGAGCTGTCCGAGGATCTGAGTGAGATTAATCCCAAGCACAACAACATAATCATACTGGATGATCTGATGGCCGAAGCGACAGACAGTCCTGTAGTAGCTCGATTATTTACTCAAGGTCGCCATAGAAACGCTAGTGTTATCTTCTTGCTTCAGAACATGTTTCCTAAGGGAAAATTTAATATAGACATTAGTCTATTAGACATATGCCCAATATCTTGCTCTCTTCCGAAGCCCTAGTGACAGAAAACAAATTGGAATCGTCGGAGAGCGAATGTTTGATAAGGATAGAGACCAATTTATGTCCGCCTACCACAGGGAGACCGAAAAGCCATTTGGATACTTATTGGTGGATAACAAACCCGACACCCCAGCCGATAAGCAAGTTCTTGGAGACCAATATTAAGGTGAGCAGTAGTGTCGAATCAGCACCAGTGTTTGGCACCGAAACAAAGCCAGAAAGAAAACGACCTAAACTCGCACATTGTCCTATAATCTGGTCGAATGCAGCTATCCCCGTGTGGCAAAACTACATCTCGGGAGCACCAGCATTCCGAATCATTCCAGAAGGATACGATATTATAGAAATGTATAGAACATCGCGTAACAGTGCAGATCCTAACCATCCTGGTGTCTACATTGATGGAGAAAACTATTGGCCTGTCAAGATAAGGCACCGATCTACAGGTAGCATGAAGTGGATAAAACTACAAGAAGACGAACACACAGTCCGAGCCATTGCCGAATAGAATATGGCTAATGAAGCCCTAACCACAGTTGTGAAGCAATAAAAGAAATGTAATATCAATAGCCTTGAGTAATCCATCCGTTCATATTAATTTAAAATCGCTTAGGGTGGATGTCAATCCACTAGAATCTACACTAGAACCTATACTAGATCTACTATCTACACTAGGATCTACACTATATATAGAGCTAGGCTATCAGCTATCAAGCTATCGTCTATTGGCATGTACCTAGCCTGAAAGTCCACACCTGGCTGAACTCATTAGTGAATAAGAAATTTGCACTAATTATT